TTAAAAAAAAAAATATATATATATTTTTATTTCATTTCTACTTGAAATTAACGAAATTTTCTTTTAATATGCAGAGTGCTCGAAGAACGTTAGCTTTTTTGCCCAAAAATGCCCATTTAAATTATCAAAAAAAAATTAAATAAATACCAAATTTTACCAACTTTTTTTTACTTAGGACCGTTAACATTCTTTCTATGTTTTATGTTTCTATGTTTTTTAGCTCTAAAAAATATCGCCCAGTGAAAAAATACAACACATAAATTTTTCTCCGTGCATTACCACCAACACATTCTCATTTTTGGATAACATAACTACTACATTCTCATGTTAGACTTTTCTCTTTTTGGCTAGCACTGATTTAAAGGAATGGCACCTTTTGGCACTTTTATTTTCTATTTGCCACATTTTGGAACCTCATAGCACAGGATAGCTGGCACCTTGGTCAGCATCAGTGCAAAGTGCACTTATTTTAAAAATTCTAAAATTTTGCGATATCTTGTAAACTGTTATATATGTATTTCTCAATATCTGACTTAATATTAGAATTTAATAGCAAATTTCACATAGTTAAATGTTACAGATCAAAATTACTTTCATCTGGTGTTATCTGACGACAAGACGGGATCTAATTAATTTTTAATGTGGTATAGGTTTACCCCACTTTAACTAAAGCAAAGGCACAACGCATACTACACATAGGATTGGGATATTTCTGTAGAAAACCCACGAGGGCGTGATGCATTTTTAGTGTTTGCTTTGAACACCACGAATTCGTTACGTTACTTACCTTATAATCTGTACTATAGGAGGATAGGGCTTATCATCGTTCAAACGCAATATAAATCGTTTTAAAACATCATTTTCAGGGCTATTCACATTTGGCAAACCGTACACATAGTCAGGTAATTCTGCAGTCGACTTAACGCCTAATGAAGTAAATTGCGAATTGGTATAATAGCCAAATAAGCAGAAAAATAGATATTCAATTACATACCAAATGCGCCTTCCAATACATTCACGGGCACATTTAGACCCACATAAATGATAATAAGATTACCACAGTCAAGTAAGAATATTGAACGCGAATCCAAGCTGTGTAAAGAAAAGCAGACATTTTAACTCATTACAATTATGAGGTAGCTATGCACTAGCAGTAAGTACACTTACAATTCAGCTGAGAGCTGCAGACGTGGCACATCCGGCAAATCATCTTCTTCTTCATCTTCTGCAGCATTCGCATTTGAATTTTGATTTGCATTTGGATAAAACAATGCATCAATTAGATAAAACTCTGGATAAAGAAATTTCATCAATTGATCCAATGGCAATGTTTTCATGCAGTCCATTGCGTATACGCGATCATCTAAGCGAGTGCTTGTGCCTACACGGAAAGCCGGCTGTATGGATAGAAATACACCACTAATTAAGGAAAATTGTTTGTTGGCTTGCCCTTTACTTACATGCTTCAATAACGCCGATATATATAGCGGCATCAATGCTAAGCTCCGTGGCGCAATCAATTGACCAGTTTGTCCGGATGGTAGATTTTGTGCAATTTTAAATGCACTGAAAATATCTACAGTTGCATTGATGAACGCTTCACGAGCATCGGCGACATTCGATGATAGTGACCGATCAACAGCCATTTTCGAAAGCAAACCAATTATAGCTTCTGTATCGGCAGCGTGCATGACTTCGGGCAGTGAGGCAGTCACGGGTAGGCACATTGTATGGACACGTATACGACGTTCGCCCTCGCTATTTGTGTACAACAGCGCTGCTTGGAAGCAAACCGTTTTCGCCTCGCTCAAGGATTCTTCGTATGAAATCTATAAAATGCTCAAGTTAATAAAAAAGGAAAAACAGATAATAATAACCAACTTACTTGCATGCCATAGCCCGCATCGGGATTCACATTTGGCAGCGAAAGCAAATCAGTCGAGCGTACGAAGAAATTGCCATGGAATGTGTGCACCTGCAGACCGCGCGTACAACGAATGCGCATGACTGCCTCAAAACCGATTTTACGTACCAGATAGCGCTTGAAGCATTGCTTGAATGAGTCCACCAATTGAGGCTTGGTTTTCTGATAGAGCGGGAAGTGATGAACACAACCGCCACTATGTTTGCTAATGCCAGCTGAAAATGTGAGAAAAAACGCTTATCTAAATTTATTCGTAAACGCAAATCTTCGAAACCGCTTAACAACCGCTGGCTCCAACTTAAAAGATAGGATACTTTTGTATATGCAGGAGTCGAAATATTTGTAAAAAGGAAAATCCTTAAAATAAAATGCTACATTTTTTCGCATAGACTTACACCGTATTGTTTGTATGTTTATGAGTTAAAAGGCAACTGATTTATACTTTTACGATCCATATATACTTAAGATCAAAAGATAACTATTGTTCACATATGTATTGATCTTGAAATCTAGTCATGAAATCAAAATTATTACTCACATATCGTTGCCATATCACTGTACTGCTGATTCATCAAAAATAAATCCACAGCTATTTGGTAACCAGAACATTCTAAAGCATAACGCTTGTAGAAATCTGTTGCTGGATTTAAATGAGCTACATCTTTGGCCGAGCGATTGTTGGGATCTTCCCGCGGCTCCAGCGAGCCAGGTCCCATGTTGGGAAGGCACGTTTGGAAAACAGTTACACGACCGCCTGATGCTTGCTATTTTATAAAATATATATAAAACATTATCCTCTCTTCCTATTTGCCTTCACATGTACTGACCATTAATTTGTAAGCAACCTGCAAAGCAGCGCCAAGCGCCGAACCCGGATCATGTGTATCGGCAAAACGCTTTGGCAGTTGAGTTAGTAAGTCCTTTACCAGCTCTTTACACTCCTTTAAATTCACCAACAGATTGTCAGGTCGTGGTAAGAATGGATCTTAAGAAAAAAAAATATATACATATATATATAACAAAAACTCGTTTCAGTCAGAATATGACTAACCGTCAATATCGAGTAAAGTTAGTTCGTGTGGCTGGTTGTAGCCTTCTGCCAAGCTGTAGAAATGCACGTGACTGTTGTAAGCAATAAAACCAATCTGTGTACGTGCATCACCTGGCATATCATCTAAATGTTTACTCAGTGTTGTGCAAACATTCTCAAGGTAACCACTCTGCTGGGCAATGATGGAAACATCGAAAAGGAACAAATATATGGCAGGTTGGGGAGGTCGTAACTGTAAGGAAAGATGATAAGAAAAAGATGAATATATTTTATTCTTCTCTATAACTACAATCGTTTATCAGTTCGGGCTGAGAAAATATTAATTTTCTTTGACCTACCATATATTCCGAGGGCGCAATAAATTCAATGGTACTCGAACGCACCTCTGGACGACGTGTGACATCACCATAAGTTTTCGTTGCTGGGTCATATTGAAAATCATCGGGCACTATGGCAAACCAATATTAATTAAGAGACTAGGTAGTTGGATTGCACGCGGTACTTACATTCGTTGACCCGATAGCAAAGATTGCACTTCCACATTTTACTATCGACAAAATACACAAAAGGATTTATGTATGTGCGACACAGCCGGCAACGTACAATATTAGGGCATTGAATGACTGGTAAGCTCTGGAAAATTTTAAAAAAGGTTTAATTTTTTATGATGTATGTATGTATGTAGGGCTAAAAGTAGAACATGACTCATATAAAAATAAATTCATATTTTTATAACCGATAATAGCCGGGTGTCTAAACTACCGGAGAGACCCAGTTTTACATCTGCGGAATGTTACAACTTGTTGAACCTTTACAACAATAACCCAGTAGACAATTTCAGGAGTTAAATGCGCTTCCGAAAGGCCTTCCTGAGAGTCAAGGGGCCTTCCAGTCTACATTGTTTTTTTCCTTTCTTTTTTTGCATTGAAGGGCTTCTTCTTTCGTTACCCATGGAGGGCCTTCCAGAAAAGCTTTTATAGGGCGTACTTCAGAAGGCCTTTTGGAGGAGTTCCTTTAAAGTTGCTTCTTTAATTTATAAAAATCATACATCTTTGAAGTATTTGCTTAAGGTTTATATCAAATATGTGTTATTGTAACTTAAAATGTTTATTAAAATTCATTTGTAATGCTGAATAATGTAAATTTATGCATTCGCGGAAATAGTAATTGGATAGGCCCTTGTAGAGGCATGCAAGAAAGCACTTTTTTCAGCCCTTCTAGGTAGGCCTCTTATAATGGCTTTATTTAAGAAGGCCTACCTAAATTATCCTCTGGGAACTTCAGCAACACTCATCGTTGATAAGAAATTGTTTAAATCCACCACAAAACATTGAGACTAGTTATAATTCCTAATTTTTGTTATCAAAAATAATCCCTATTCAACAATTTTAACCTTTTTGAAATTATATGTACATATGTATATTTCTTCGTTCATCTACCGCGATCTTACCAACGCTAAGTTAAAATCACAAATCATAAATTCATATATATATATGTATATATGTATGTACATATTTCTACTTACATTAATATCACGGAATGGATGTATTAAAATGCCCAATGGTAAACGGGACTTTTGTAGCAGCGAATTACTTTCTGGTATTTTCGCGATGGTGCAACGCATAATGCTGTCAAAGATATTTGTAAATTCAAATAAGTATATTCTACACTTTTCATTCTAACGTTGGCATACTTACTTGGGACTACAATTAATAGATTCGTGGAATTGATTATTGAGTACAATACGAGGCGGCGACAAAGTGGCTGGTGACAAAATATGACGATTTTGCATCAAATCAATGGTATCCTGACCCCAAAGTCGACTGAAACCCGCCTGTGTAACGCTCATTTGCTGATTGTATGCACCGCCACTGGGTGGAGGAAAATTTTGTTGCTGAGGGAATTGCTGCGTCTGCACTGGCGGAGGTTGCTGCATATAAGGCGGCTGTGATTGGTATTGCAGTGGTGCAGTATTCGGTAGACCATTGAAAAGACCTGGCTGCGGTTGTTGCTGATATGCCTGCGCATATGGTTGCTGTTGTGGTTGTAGCTGCTGCGGCTGATGTTGAGAAGGTGGCAGCATTGGTGGCGGTCCTGCTGGATACATTGGTTTGCGTTGCGATGCTGTTTGCTCTTGTGTATTGTTGTTTAATTGATTTTGCTGTTGTTGAGCGGTGGCTGCAGAACTAGTAGCTGGCAACGGTGGTTGCAATGTAGGCCCAACCAAACCAGGTCTGTAGTTTTCATTCGAAAACATGGACGCTTGAGGCGGCATTTGTTGCACACCTGGTGATGCATTTGTCACAATTGGATGTGAACGTGATGTGCCGAACATGCTCGCATTGCTTGCGGGTGGCGCATTAGTAAGAGATTGCGTGGGCGCCGTTTGACTGAGGGACGTGCTCGCTATAGGCGGTTGCAATAGCTTGCTGCCGGCATAAAGCGAGGATGTGTGCGACGGCGGCGGAACGCTTGCTTGGGATGCTGTCGGCTGTCCGGGTAAAGAAGTAGCCGTATTTATGGCGTTCGTACGGAAATTTGTCTAATAGTGAGAAATTTAAAGCATTTCCTTTGTCAAAGAAAGTGTTTTAACTCACCTGATAGTTGTTGGGAAACTGCTGTTGATGTTGGTTTGTAGTCAAAAGCGGTTGCCCCTGATGCGTGAACGTGTTGGCCACATTTGGCGCTGTCGTACCATTGGTGCGATTAATACTCAAATTCTGCATGCTTCCTGACAAGCCAGGCGCGCTTCCAGTGGATGCGAATTGCGGATTGCTTGGCGTCACACTACTACTACTAGACGCAAAGTTCATCGGTGGCTTTGCTGCATATCCGCCATGCTGCGATTGTTGTGCCTGTTGCTGTTGTTGCGCTAATGATGGCGAAGCTGTGCGCGAAGAATTCGTGCTTAGATTTCCGCTACCACCGCCGCCATTGGTCAAGGGCATACCTCCTGGTGTGCCGTTCAAACCAGGTGGCCGCAAATGTGGCGGCAAATTGCTAGTTGGCGCTGATGTTGTTGCACTGTTTGGAGGCCGCGCTGGTCCATTAGTTGGCTGAAGCGCAGAACTAGATGCTGGCGGCAAAAATTTACTCATATTACTTTGGAGTGCTGGAGCAGGCTGCGGCAACTGCTGCTGCTGTTGTTGTTTGTGTTGAAGTATATTTTGCTGTTGGCCCATTGGAATAGGCGGTGGTGGTGTACCGGCGCCACCTGGTGCCTGCGATAGCTGTTGTGTTGCTGGTAAGCCATTCACCAAGTTCGACTGTCCCATAGGCGGAGGACCGTAATTCGTATTCGCATAACCAGACATTTTCAACTTGATTCAATTCATAGAAATGAAGAAACCTGTAAAATAGAAAAGTGGAAAATTTTTAGTAGGGTTATAAACAACAAATGATTCTTTAAAGGTGGTTGTAATAAAATATAAAGTGCAAAATTTAAAGATAGTTCATTTTAATTTATTGCGATATTTAATTAACTTGACAATATCGTTCCTAAGGTCATGTATGTTGCAAGCAAATGGTTGCATTACTTTGTACAAACTACCATTATCTGCACTTCAAATGCCCTTGCGGCAGTAGGGCTTGTTCGAGCTGCAATCACAACCACAGTGTTGGGCGAATTATTAAAGTATCGCGTTCTTGGNATTTTCAACTTGATTCAATTCATAGAAATGAAGAAACCTGTAAAATAGAACAGTGGCAAATTTTTAGTAGGGTTATAAACAACAAATGATTCTATAAAGGTGGTTGTAATAAAATATAAAGTGCAAAATTTCAAAGATAGTTCATTTTAATTTATTGCGATATTTAATTAACTTGACAATATCATTCCTAAGGTCATGTATGTTGCAAGCAAATGGTTGCATTACTTTGTACAAACTATCATTATCTGCACTTCAAATGCCCTTGCGGAAGTTCACGTAGGGCTTGCTCGAGCTGCAATCACAACCACAGTGTTGGGCGAATTATTAAAGTTGCAACAGTGTTGCAAATTTTCATCAATACGGCAGTAATGCCGCTTTTATAAATTCGTAGTTTTAAACAAGGTTGAACAATTACTGTCGTTTTTTATTTGTTCTACATTTTACATACAGTATCGGTCATATCTATAGCACTTTATTTATTTATTTATTTCTGAGAATTTTCAATTAAAATACAGTTCTTTCTCTAACAAAACCCATATAAACCCAAGTTTAACAATTTGTAGAAAACTTCAAAAAAGTGCAACAAATTTTCACCTAAATTTCAAACTTTTTTCTCAGTAGTGTTTGAATTTTTCTGAATACACAGTTTTATAGCCCAATCAATTTTAGTCTGATAATGTGCAAGTTTCAAGTGACTGAAAGTTACCGTTGATTTTTTAGAATTTTTTTCTCCAAAGGTGTTGCGGTTTTCATCCATATACAAATAAATTGAGTTTATTCATTATATGGAAGCCAATGCGACAAAAAAAAATCTAAAAAATTAACGGTAATTCGTAGCCACTTGAAATTTGCACATTATCAGACTAAAATTGCCGTGGCTCAAAAACTGTGTACTCGAAAAAATTTAAACACTTCCGAGAAAAAAGTTTGAAACTTAGGTGAAAATTTGTCTCACTTTTTTGAAGAATTCTACAAATGGTTAAACTTGGGTTTATACGCGGTTTTTTAGAGAAAGAACTATATTTTAATTGAAAATTCTTAAAAATAAATAAATAAACATAAGTGGCACACATTATCACTTTGAAATGGCTTGCTATAGATATGACCGATACTGTATATATATACATATATTTTTAAAATATTTCAAACTTTATATACAATGACGGCCAGTTGAATAGCGCCCCCTTTTGATCCTCTGTATTGGCGGTTTTGCTCGAGTTTTTTTAATATTCACTAATTTTTTATAAAAATATAGCAATTCTATAACAAAAACCATATAAATCCAATGTTCACACTTTATGTAAAATAACTCAACAAATTTCAAAAAAAAATTTGAATTTCGTTACCCATTAAACTTTTTTTTTTTACAAAAAAGCTATATAAATTCACGCGATTTTTAAGAAACTTAAAACTTACACCATGGTGTACTAAAATTGAAGGGGTACTAAACTGAGTACTCAATAACATATATTCTCGAATTTGTTTAAAAATTTAAAAATTTTTATGAAAATTGGTTGAATTATAAATTTGGTAAGTTTGAAAATCGAATTTATACTAGAAAATGCTAATTTTTTTTTAAAAAAAGATTAATAATAATAATAGATTGGCACTTACACAATGTATTAGTGTTTGGCCGAACTTCTCCGATTTGTGGCGTGCGACTTGATATCGTCACACAAAGGGGAGGAGAAGCTGTTTTTCATAGCAGAAATACACTCGGAGGTTTGCCATTGCCTGCCGAGGGGCGACCGCTATAAGAAACCACTTTTTTTTTTGTTTTTATTTTTTGATGATGGAACTGCAGAATGCTGGTAAAATTAATTATTATTAACAAAACAAACGTAAAACTGTCAATACTGACTATCCCAAAGTGGGGCTATTCCAGTGGCCGGAACTGTATCAGCGTTTATCTCACTAAGTGCTCTCTTTAAAACGTATTGTGATAAGACTTATCTTACAGACAGGCATTGGAAAAAAAGCGGAGCACAAAGCATAAAAAAGAATATATCGTTGATGAAATGTAGAAAGGCCCTGACTGGTATTTTTCCGTAATACAGTTGTTTTGCATTTTTATATATCTTATACTAAAACGCATCTTCCTTAAAAATTTGTGGGCCGTAACTTAAAACCAAATGACTTTATGACACTTAACATAAAGCCCTATGCAAAGTATTGTAAGGCCTTTTTTCTGTATTCAAGAAACGTTGAGTAAATGCAGCATAATGTATTGGCTTTATTCTGTCTGCAACTGTTGCACAATTAATACATACATAGCACATGTCCATCAAAACAGAGTTAATTAAAAATATACCATTTGTCAGAAAAGGCAAAAACTCTTTCTGAGCAAATGTTATTCGTATGGGGCTTTTTTGCACCAAATTATAACAAGACCACAATTAGAGCTTTTGCAGGGAAAATATAAGTTGAAAAGTTTTCCACAATTCCAAAATTTTAAATCGTGCTTAATTCTATCAAACTGTTTTTTCTATAATGGAGTGGAATCAATCAATGTAAATCCTTTCAAAAACCTCCTCCTTTGGATGTAAACTCATATTAGGTATACAAGGAGCATTGTAATGTAAAATTATGTATAATTCTGAGGAACTGTTAATGAGATGGCATTCGTTTCGTAAATATCTTAAAGCGATGTCCCTGCAGTAAAAACCCAAACCAGTTAGAAAAAATACTAGTTCATAAACTAGTATGTGCCTACCAATAGATCAAGGTAAGTAACGTTTTTTTTTTGCAAGTTTGCGACTTTCCCAATCCCTAGCTTTACGCTCAAATCGTCAGATTATTGAAATGCACACTTTACAGCATGTAATTAACCCACCATTTTTCAATAATTTTTTTTTTTACTATTCTGATCAGCAGCGTTTTGAATTTCGAGAAATGAAGTCGTTCATGAGTTCATGGATAAGAATGCAATATTGCTACATGGTTGATCCTTTTTTGGTGCATTGTCGAGCGCAAATAATTTTTCATCCTACGCAAAACGGAAAAGCTCCTCTAGTTAGAGCATGCCGTACATATTCAGAAACAAGTCCCACACACAATTCGTTTTCACGCAAAAATTGCACAACATCTTTCACAGATTCTGGATTTCGCTCTATGCGCCTCATTATGCACAGAGATATATCGTTATCACTCAATATCGATCACCATTATAAAACGTGGCATTTTCTTCAAATCTACTGTCTCACCAAGAATGAACTTTTCTATAGTTTTATAAAACGTTGCCGATTCAGTATCAAATTTATTTGTCAGGGAGCAAATAACTTGGTCAAAAATGTCATAATATATCTTCCGAAAATACTCTTTCAATTGGACTTATTTTTCTCTTCTAAAAAATTTTCGGGTGGGTAATTACCCACCTTTAAAAATTTTGGCCAGCTAGTAATACCCACCATACCCACGTCTTCCGCCGCCCTGCAACTACCCTTTATTGGGTCCAATTATTTCTTCTATTTTTAACGTCCGTAACCAACTCTAAGAGCGTGTTTTTTATTTTATATTTATTTCAGTCCCACAAAAATTCTATGCCCATAAAAATTTTAAATCTTGAGCATTTACAACTTGATTTATAAGTCAATTTTCTTCGTTGATAGCTTGATGTTTTTGTAAAAGAGAGAGCTTTAACACAAAACAATAGAGTTTACAAAAAAAAACACTTTTTTTTTTGTAATTTATCCCTGTTAAAGTTTGCATTTTTTCATTCACAATATAAACTTAAAATGAAAATACCTTACGAAAATTACCTGATCTATAAAAAACGGTATACGGTTTCGGCGTTTTTTGTGTCATTTTAGCGTCCCTACAGTGTAATAATAGTATAATTTATGCTCCTTTAAAAAATGTAATTTGATAAGAGTTTTACTTAATAACTAAACACTATCTCTAAAATTATCGGAAAATCAATGCCCAGAGCAAAAAAAGGAAATACTTACGTAAGTTAAAGCCTTAAGTGCAACTAATGGCTGTTGGAAAAATGAGTTTCCAATCTTGAATGGGATAATTGCTTATATTAAGTACTATCAAACTAAAGTGAAAAGCAAAGCTCAAAGAATAAACCTTGCTGGTCATCCCCTGTTAAAGTTCTTGGAACTTCTTTGAGCTCTTAACTGCGGTGCAGCTTTTGATACAAATGGGCTAGAGGAAATATAAAGTACTACGATCAAAACAAGACAACATTCCGCCGTTATCTCTATTTATTCCAAGAAGTTGAAATCTACATAATCCACGACCCCTGGACTAACAGCTAACATGCCATCCATCAGCTGAAGTGTCAGCAAAATCGACAACAGCGGCATGCAATCGTTCATTAAAATAGCGAAGTGACAACCAAATAACAATGAACGATCGAAAACTACGAAATATTTTTTCGTCGTATCTAACTTGCCCTCATTCACTTTACCAGTCAGCCGAAAGCCCTGTGCTGCTAGCGCTGTGGTTTATGGTTTATATAATAATTTTTATTGTTATGCAAGCCTTTTATAAATAAATAAATAAAAAAAATTTAATTTAAGTGATTATTGGCCTTGACCTTAACCCAGAAATAGCTCGTACACAAATATACCCGCTAACTTGCATGTAAAGACGAGTTATGCATATTAGGGATGTTGCGAATGTCGAATTTTAGACATCCGCGGATGCGAATGCGGATGTGAAGTATTTTTAAGAAACAATTAGGTAAGTAAATTAAGTTAGGTAAATAAAAAAAGGAAAAAGTTAATAATTTTTAATAATGTTTATTTTTATTTAGTACTTGAATTTGAAAATTGGAATATTATATGTAATAAAAAGTAATGAGAATTGTACCGGTGCTGAAAATGTCGGATGTATTCTCCTGACTTTCATATTCACTTGAAGAATCTAGCATAATGGCGAGATCGTTGTTGAAACAGCGCTTACAAGCCAAACCAGATGACTCAGGTTTCTCTAAAGCTTTTTTAAAAGAATTCTTTATTCTCATTCCTTTGGCTGTTTCAGAATTTGGGGAGCCAGTAACGTCATCAGCGTTTTTTTTTTTTATTTAGTTTTTGTAATTACTTTCTTCTGCGACTGAAAAATTTGTGCTTATAGCGAGCTAAATAGGTGGATATGGAAAATAAATTATTATTTTCCAGGAATGAAAATTTTGAGCGAAATTCTGTTTTCAAAGTCGTGGCTGCCAGCCGAATCGGATCAGAATATTGTTACCCTTTTTTTAACACCCCGTTTTTATAAGAATTTGAATCTCAGATAGTTATGTAATTCTTATCTAATTAAAGGTCAGACCTATAGCTTTTTTAATTATTTGAGCATCGATTCTCTTTATAGCCAGACGTCGATCATTTCTGCTGGAAATCCCTATTGAAGGAGCTTACTCTTTGACTTTTAATAGCAAAGGATCTAATGTACATATGTATGTATATCCCTATGAAAAAATATTACCCGACAAGTAAACAAAATTACTGTTTTTAAAATTTTTGCTAAAAATAAATTCTCCAAAGAGCCCCAATTGAAATTATTGAAACGAATATATCGTCACCTGAAATGCAAAAAGACGTAACGAACATCAGCGTTGAAATGCAAAAAATCAATACTAATAAAAAATTCAAAATTCACTTTTTGATTTATATGATGGATTTTTATTATTTTATGAAATAAAATTAAAATATTAATCACGACTTTTTGCATTTCATTAACAATGTTGTTACGTCTTTTTACATTTCAGGTGACGATATGTAACATCAAAAGCAAATCACGAAAATTTGGTTATGAATTACAGTGCACACTTTCTTTTTTTATAACTTAATAGTTTTTTTTTAAGATTGGTCCAAAAAAATCATAATAAAGAAGGAAACCAATGCAGGTATTTAAAGAACAGAAAAAAATAAAAAATATTATTAAAAGGACCATGTTCTTTTTGACGTACGTCAAAGGTCAAGTAGAAGTGGGCAGTTTTATGACTGCCCATTAATAGCTCGGTTATATAGCTTAAGAAATAATATGTTTAAAGTTTTGTTATAGAAATGCTCCCACGACCAAAGGCAAAAAATATTGTCATTTGTCATTGCCAAATATACGTTTTATCGGTGCACTTGCACAACATTCGCATTCGAAAAAACTCCGCATTGATTATTGCGAATGCGAAAGCAAATGTTAAAAGTAATGCGGAAGCTCCGCGGTTGCGAATGCGAATATTCACAACAACCCTGGTACATATGCATGAATCATACATTCCATAGTATATACATTATAATTATTTTTGTTATCTATGCCAAATTTTAATAATACGTTTATATGTGGATACACTTGAAAACTCTGCCGTCGCTATTTCGCATTATGGTATTATGTATAGAGGCAAAAATTCGAGAAGCATCGCAGCATTCATATCTGCTTGATTAAAATAAATATTGAATGAAAAATTCATGACGTATTGATGATGATTGTATATGTATGCATTAAGATGTATATTAACAAATTATATCAAGAGTGGCGGGTGAGTTAAAGATATATTTTTCTTCACTCGTTGTCCGTTCCCAAAATTGTAACCATACGTATATATATATATTAGGGTGGGTCAATTAGTAGGTCAATTAAAAAAGTTGATTCATATCCTTGCGATTCTGGTACTATGGACCATAACAAACATTTTCGCCCAAGGAACCATACCTCTAAAATCATTTTCGAGCCTGCCAAAATTTTTTGGTAGATATTTTCAAAAATACCAAATAAACGACCTCTTAGATGCATTTCAAAGACAAAAAAATTCAGCTTTATGCGATTAATTGCAAGCTTACCCCTATTTATTCAGCTAACTTGACTAGGCTATTATGTATATGTTTGTGTGTATTTGTGTGTGTGATTTTTGACTTGTTTTAATTTAATTCGACTTTCTATTTAAATAGCTCTAAAATGACAACAGATTGATATGGATATTGAGGTTGGGTGTACACGCATAGCGTTTTCTTTTTCTTAATACATTTTTGCAAAACTGATAGTGCAATTATAATTGTGTTTACTCGCCATTTGTAACACCAAAAGGGGATTTTGTATAAAAAATTACTTAAGTCCAAGTCATGAGCAAATAACACTGGTTTACAGCAAAAATGTTCTACGGACGCCACTATCCAATTCCTATGTAGAACTGCTCGGTGATTCCGAAAATGGATTAAATATTTTTTTTTCTATGGATACGTTTTCGAGATATTGGCAACTGATTTGGCACAGAAACTGTTATTTTTTTTTAATTTTTCTTCTGTTAAAGTTTGATTTTTCTTTAATTCTTTCATAAAAAATTAAAAAAAACTGGAAAGATTAATTAATTTGTCAGAAACTATAAGCCCTATCGGAAAGTGATGTATATACGGTTTATGGAGAATTTCATTGACTTTCATTTGCCGAATTTTATATTAAGATTTTTAAATTGGTTCGTAAGATATACGTGGTTAAAAGGAACCAATTTTCGCTTTAAGCTGAATAACGCTAAATTGCAAATATCTCGAAAACGTATCCATAGAAAAAAAAATTAACCCGAATTTCGGAATAACCGAGCAATTATACATATAAATTGGATGGTGGCGTCTGGAGAACAAAAACCAAATTAAAATTTATGATCCAGTGTAATCAAATCCAAGGCGTGCTGCAATTCAACGCAACTGAAGTGTTCAACCATATGACAATTTTTATAAAATGAAGTTTATAATGTAACCTTATATAAAATGCTGCGTTTGCACTTCATAAAAACCAGTTGAAAGTTGTCATTGGTACTGGGCAAAATATGAAGGCAATCGATGTGTATTCTGCAGTGATTTGCGCATTTGTGGTAAGCTAATTTCGGAGAATATTTAGAAACTGGATTTAGCTAATCGTTTTTTATTGATTGTAGCACTATGCCAATGCGCAGGATGCTACAAGTGTGGATTGCACCAAACCGCCACGTTATGTTGTGAGTATACATACTTTATTTTAGCCTAATTTAGCGCAATATTCAAACCAACTAACAATTTGCATCCAATCAAAACAGCCTCTACACATGTGCTGCCCAGTGCCTAGCCTCACCACCGATGAACTAATGCAGCAATGCGCCAAATTCGCCGGACCGCCACAACCGCCACCGATGACTAGGAGCAACAATGTGCCCCCACCACGGCCACGTGGAGGTCCGAAAATGCGTGGGCGCACGCATCCACATGGACTACATGCACCTCCCGTAGGCGACCGTTTGTGCAATCATATTGATATTCCTAATTTTAAACTATTCTTTTATTCTTATTTTTATACTCAGTGCCTAATGGAATGCATTTTCAATCAAACCGGAGTCATTGGCGAGGACGGTGAGCTCCATGAGGATAAATTTATGGAACTCCTAAATACGGTAGTAAGGGACAATGATGAAATGATGACAGTTATGGAAGAATCCTTCGCAACTTGCTTTGAAAAAGCCACTGATATAAAAGCTAAAATTGCCGATAAAATGAAGGAAGATCCGAAGTTTGCTCAAAGAATAACTAAGCCTAAATTCCGTGCCTGCTCGCCTTTCAGCGCTAGGATAATGACTTGCATTAACTTTAAGACATTCCAAAATTGTCCAACCTCTGCATGGAATGATAGTGAGGAATGCAATGCATTCCGTAAATTTGTTATGGAATGCTAAGGACCTAAATTAAAATAAATTACTTGCATAATAAATATACCTACTATCTTTCGACTCCATCTAACTGATTTATATTTTCGAATTAGTTCACTATCTACCCAGTTTTAAGATTTATTGATGTCAGAAACGTGGTTCAGTAACTTGGCACAATGAAGCAGTTCGATTTTCATTGCATTTTAAAATAAAAATACATCAAACATGCTTTTTTTTCTTAGCATTGTTTATTGTTGCTTTATTGGATTTCAGAGCAGACATTTTGTATTCTTAATTACATATTGGACAGTTCAGCTCGAAAAAGCAGATAATAAGACAATATTATGAAATTTATTAAGGGCAGCAGTCTACAGATATCTGCATCCAGCTCTTATTTTTTACATGGTGTCCGGAATCCCGTTATCCGGCAAAATCTCTATTCGGCATGTCCCAACATATTTTAAACCTTCTGCAAAAAAGCATAAAAATTCAGCAAAAATTGCGCCTAAACTTTGAAATTTTTAATAAGAATTTACAGAATTATTTTGAGTATGCCCATTAAATTTTAGATAATGAGCTATACCTCTAAAGAAAATAGTAAGAATTAAGTAAACAAAAGAAAAGTAGGCAGAATTTGTTAAAATGTCGTGTCGCTTCTTATTTTTCCACCACTGTTTGGTATTTTTGTAAAGGTAATTTATTCACTAAATAGAATTAAACAGAAAATTTCCTATAAAATAAATTATATGCCACTAAAGTGTACAAATTGTACACGAATTATTTTACTAAGAGCATAGCCATGCGTAAACTCTGCACGGAAACAAATGTCAAAAATACATTCTTTGAAATAAAATGTTGGTTTCGTCAAACCACATAGATAGTAGAGAGCTTTAAAAATAAAAATCTTGGAATAAAATTAAACACAGGGTGTTCCTGCGGTATTCCAGGAAAATAATTTTTTTTATCAAAATTTAAAAAAATGTTAAACTTGAATGGAGAGAAAAAAGATATATGTAAAAATATGTTATTTTTTATTATTTTATTAAATAATACGTGTTTTTAGCTTTCGAAAGAAGAAATCAAAAATGCTGATTTATTGCACTTTTTGAAGTAATGCGTTTTTTGCTAGTGCATAAAATAATTTTTTAATTTTTTTTAGTGTCATCAGATCTGCACGATTCGTTCTATTTCCAAAAATGAAGTGTCAGATTAAAAAGCTTGACCTGTAGACAATAGTTGCCATCTGTAAAAAAATTCAATTCAAATTTTTTAATGCGTTAAATGAATTATTAATAGATGGGTATCAATAGAAATCTGTATGAAAAGGGTTTATTTCTTAACTACGTGTAGAGGGTTACCACCTGTTTAAAAAATTAAATTCCATTTGAATTATAGGAATTGAAATAGATAGGTATCACCATATGGGAGTCAGACGAAAGAGGTTTAAGAAGGTTTTAGCTTGCAGATATTACGAAGAGGGTAGCCACATGTTTTGCTCTGAAATCCATATTGATATACATATTTCTGTTACCTTATTCCCTTAATTAAAGTGAATTTGATTGTATAAACATGTGGCAACCCTTCTAGCGTGTCGTTTAGAAATAAAGCATTTTCAAAACCATTTCAATTGAGACCCATATTGCAATATCTAATTCATTTAACTTATTAAATAATTTTAATAAAAATTTTAACAGGTAGCAACCCTTTCCACAAATAAAACTTTATTGCACATCTACAAGGAAGCCCTGTCATTTGACACCTCACTTTTGAAAAATAGACCTCAAACCGCATTTACAGTGAAGGTATGAAAGTTATCCAAAAACCAATTGCATTTTTGAATTTAATGTCCTCAATTTTACTAAGAATCCGTCCACAATTCTATTTTTGCCCACATTTTATATGGAAGGGAAGCACTGTGCTTCCGCTCTTTTTATGCGGATTTGAATTTATGCGGTTTTTCAAACCATTATTTCGCAGTAGCGATTTTGCTGTTTTGTGAGTTCTTTATTACTTTTTTCAGTGTGTAAAAGCAATGTCGATATATTGTCTGTATCTATAATAATAAAATAATATTGGCGCTTACACATATGTTAGTGTTTGGCCGAGCTTCTCCTCCAATTTGTGGGTGCGCCTTGATGTTGTCATACAAAGGGGAGGGACCTACAGTTTTACGCCGACTCCGAACGGCGATTGTATTTTTACGAGAAGCTGTTTTTCATGGCCGAATATACACTCGGAGGTTGCCATTGCCTGCCGAGGGGCGACAGCTGTTAAGAAAAAACCTTTTTCGTAGAATTTTTATCTTAATCCTAAGGTATGGGTTTTCATATGTGAGTAATTTTTATTTATTTTTTTTGGTTAAAATACAGATAAAATTTTATTTATTTCATTAATGTTCGGTTTTACATGGAATAATAAGTGTTGAAGTGAAGAAATAAATCGTTTTTTTTGCTCAATAATGCCTCACTGGTTCTTCACAGTATTTTAAAAAATTTTAAATGGAGTATCTGAATTTATGCGGTTTTTGAAAATGCTGGAACGCATCCCCTGTTTTTGTATGAAAGTAAAGAACTTTTTTATGCGGATTTTTTTTTATGCGAAAAGAGACCTAAGTGTATATATATATATATACGTATGGTTACAATTTTGGAGAACGGGCAACGAGTGAAGAAAAATATATCTTTAACTCACCCGCCACTCTTGATATAATTTGTTAATATACATCTTAAAGCATACATATACAATCATCATCAATACGTCATGAATTTTTCATTCAATATTGAATGCTGCGATGCTTCTCGAATTTTTGCCTCTATACATAATACCATAATGCGAAATAGCGACAGCAGAATTTTAAGTGTATCCACATATAAACGTATTATTAAAATTTGGCATAGATAACAAAAATAATTATAATGTATATACTATGGAATGTTTGATGTACCAGGGTTGTTGTGAATATTCGCATTCGCAACCGCGGAGCTTCCGCATTACTTTTAACATTTGCTTTCGCATTCGCAATAATCAATGCGGAGTTTTTGCGAATGCGAATGTTGTGCAAGTGCACCGATAAAACGTATATTTGGCAATGACAAATGACAATATTTTTTGCCTTTGGTCGTGGGAGCATTTCTGTAACAAAACTTTAAGCATATTATTTCTTAAGCTATATAACCGAGCTATTAATGGGCAGTCATAAAACTGCCCACTTCTACTTGACCTTTGACGTACGTCAAAAAGAACATGGTCCTTTTAATAATATTTTTTATTTTTTTCTGTTCTTTAAATACCTGCATTGGTTTCCTTCTTTATTATGATTTTTTTGGACCAATCTTAAAAAAAAAACTATTAAGTTATAAAAGAAGAAAGTGTGCACTGTAATTCATAACCAAATTTGAAAATGGAAAAAGTCGTGATTAATATTTTAATTTTATTTCATAAAATAATAAAAATCCATCATATAAATCAAAAAGTGAATTTTGAATTTTTTATTAGTATTGATTTTTTGCATTTCAACGCTGATGTTCGTTACGTCTTTTTGCATTTCAGGTGACGATATATTCGTTTCAATAATTTCAATTGGGGCTCTTTGG